GAGCCCGATGCGGGACTCGATCCCGGGACTCCAGGATCATGACCTGAGCCGAAGGCAGTCGCTTAACCAACTGAGCCACCCAGGCGCCCTATATTTATCATTCTATAGAAGAAGAAAGTGGTCTCTACCTTAAACACTCAACTTTATCAAAAAGACAGTTCCTTCTAAATATGTTCCTTTTACTGAGGTGATGCCAAAATTCGTATCAATGCTAAGAATAAATGTTCTTACACATTTAAATGGGTTGAGCACAACTGTGACTCTGGTTTTTATACAAAATAAAGTAAGATAAAATAGGCAGGTGTGAGTTTCTGCTGAAAAATGAATGCCAAGATATTTTTCTTAGAAATTACTCAGTATCACATACAGAAGAGGATCCCTTGCTTCCAATTTTACAAAGTATAAAAGCAAACTAATTTTGTGGATAAAGAATCAAATAAACTTGGAGCTAAAAGGAGAAGATGGTCCAATACAGTTTTCTCAACAGAGGTTCACTCAAGAGTATTTAAACCATATGGAAAGTGACCTGAGTGACCATTTTCTCAATTGTCCCAAAGATGATACATAGCTAATTCCATTTCAAATGCATAAAAAAGTTAATTCATTACATACAATGCCTCAATGATTAGAGAATTAAGATTATTTGAATCTATGTAAAAATAACTACTAGTATTAGTATGTTAGAGTCAATAACTAAAGTTTCAAAGTTCTTCTGTTCCTCACAAAAGCATTTGTATAGGTTACATATCTATCCCTACATTGTTTTATCAACATTATGATTTTTCCTTATAGGATTTTGATAATTCCATTTGTTATAGAACTTTATAGTAAGGCTGGACCTACAAAAAGGAACCACAGTCACAATCATAATTAATTTATATTATTAATTGCTCTTTGCTGATATAACATCTAGTTTTAACTACAAATCAAATAAAAAAAGTGTCTTTGTTCAAAATACATATTTTTGTTTATAATATTGGTAGAACTAATGTACACATCTTAACTAATTTTTTATATTTAGAACAAGTAAAATGTCTCAATATGGTCAAGTAGTGTGATATATATCACTGCAATCACTAAATAGAAACTAGAATTTATAAATCAGAAGCAAATTTAAATAAAAGAAACTTAAAGATATTTTAAAAAAAGCACATGGCAGAATTCTATATCCTCTTTAATCGCTGTAACAACAATGAATAGACTTACGTGAACATTCTACTTTGGAAATTTATTTGAAGTAAAAATTCTAGATCTATAGTAGCAATGCTGCCTGTGACCTATTATATTTAAAAGAGCTTATTCCTACTTATTCCTATGCAAAGAGAATGCCAAAATGATAAATATATCTCACAACTCCTAAATCGTTACATTTTGCCACTATGCCCACAAAACTGACATCCCACAGTAACTTACCTCTTTACCAAAAACAAACAAACAGTAAAATGAAAAAACCTTACCTACTACATTGACTTGCACAAATAGGTTAAATGAATTAAATGAACAGATTCTTATTTTCCTATAGTTTCAAAAAATCTGGAGAGATTTATTTCCACTCACCCTAAACCTGAATATTCCCTGTGTTCAATTAGAAAAAATAAATGGGAGGTCATTTTGTAAATAACTAGCTTCAAGACCAAAAAAAGTTTTGTGATACAAGGTAAAAGAAGAGGCTGAACACAATTATCATTTCCCCTAAAAGGAAATTACTTTTCAGGTGCTTTTTTGTCTTTTTATTTCTTGATTTCTTGGGATTTTTCAGTTCATTTCTCTTAAGTATACATTCAACTCTATCTCAGTGAACTCTTTAGAAACTCAAAGCAAAACTAAATGTGGCCATGCCAAGGTGAAGCAAATAATAATAATAAATTTAATTATAGGTTAAAAATAAAGTATGGCCTATTTTAGAACTAAATATAAAACTATTAGAAACACATGCAAAAAAATAAAACTGAGAAAGAAGAAAGAAAACAGAGGTGATATATTTATGCAGTTCTTAGAGGACATAAAGCAATAAAAACTGATATATCTGACTATATAAAAATATGACATTTCTATAAGTTAAAAAATCAATATTAAAAAGACATATAACAAGGATATATTTGACAAGACAAAGGTTCATGTCATTTATATAAAGAGCTATTAAAATTTTTTAAAAGTTGTAACCAATTTTCACCTATCAAAATTTACAGACTAAAAAGAATGATAGCACCCAGTGTTAAGGGGATGTTAATAATTGCTGATGTAAGAGTAAACTGATGTTACCTTTCCAGTGAAGAACTAGAAATGATTTATCAAAACCACTAAAAATGTGCATATCATATAATCAAGTAATTCTACTTCTAAGAATTTAGTCCAAGGAAACAAAATAATTAATACAGAATTATAGTAAAAATGAAAAAAAAAGAAGAGAAAAAAAAAACAAGATTTCTATTCCCCTAGGAAACTGATTAAGAACACTAGAGTATACATTAATAAGATGGAATAATAAAAGTCATTAAAATCACATTGTGAAATATTTATTGTGATAAGGAATGTCTGTCAAAACATAACTAAGTGAAAAGCATAAGCTATAAAAGATAATTCTATCTTAGGTTTCTATTTCAGGAGGTACTGAAGAAAAAAATATAAATTGTAGATAAGATGATGCAACTACACTCAATTTGGTCTTTACTCTTTATTGTGTTTTCCAAATTTTCTTCATTAGGTATTTCTTTAATTAAAAAAATTCTTTGATTAATCTGAAATGTTTTTTAAAGCTTTTAATCACACCATCTTCAAAAGGCACAAAACCATTTAAAATAACTGTCATCTGTTTTAGGGACAAAATAAAACTAATGTTAATTGTTTTACTGCACTCCAAAAACTCAGTTTCATGTTATTTAAATTATATACTACATACTTTACAAATGTTGACTTTAAAGCTGTAAAAATGGAATACCTGAACTAATATAACACTGTATGTTCACCAGAATAAAAATAAAAATAAATTTTGAAAAAAAGCTATGAAAAATGGAAACATTACCATTTAAGCCAAATGCCCTACCACTCTCACATACATAAGAGAATCCTGAGTACGTTTACATATGTGATCATATAAGCATACATACATCTATATGACCATGATTCAGGAAATAATTTCCTAATGGAAAAAAAAAAAAAGATTCTGACAGCCAGAGCACAGAAGAGAACTAAAGAATGGTTCCCAGAATACAGTACACATTCATTAAATCACAGCTATTACTTTTATTTTAGCTTCTAGTTTTACTAGAAATATGCAGATAACTACCTTAATTCTCCATTTCACTTTACACATATAGCCCTGGGCAAAGCTAAGACATAGTGTCTTCATTCTATCTTATTTCCTGTGTCAGCTATTTGTAGTATGGAATGAGGTTAACTATTCATACACAGTAAGAATATGCGCATGAGAATCTGATTCTATTCCCTCAGAAAGAAGAAACGAAACAATGTGATATACCTCAGATTTAGAAGAACTAAGGGGAAAAAAAAAATCCTGCCTGTAGATGGAGTTTAGCATTAACGCCGCAATATTAGAAAACTTGCACTAAGACGAGGCTAATCCTCTCACACTGGGATTTCCTCCTGTCACTGCATCAATTAAAAAGCCAACAAAAACATTAAATATCCAATAAGCAAGTTCCTACAGCATTCAACATTCTTGATTATTCTTGGTCTTTTACCCAGGCAACAGAATGCTTCTACTTTGGAAGAGTTGATTCTCTTAATACGAAGGCTAATAAATGCATACAATTGACAGAATTTTTAAACAGCAGGGAGTATAATACTCTTTGTATATTAGAACAATTTAGACTCTAAAAATTCACAATTTTGAATCACTAAAAATAGCCTTAGCTCAGCAAATGCAGACCTTTCTAATTCCAAGGAATCCATCTGTATTTGAAAAAAAAAAAAAAAAACTTGTCTCTCAAACAAAAATAATTTAGCAAAACACAAATGACCTAATTAAAGCAACTCACATATTATACCCAGACAACAAACTGATGATTTCTCATTTATTTTGTTCATTTAAAATGACATGATTCATATCCTCTCACCGAACTTTCAGAAACCAAGTCTTCTGAACCTATATAATAGTGATAAAAACTGCACTCCTAATAAAATTTACAACTTACTCATGTTCATTGATATAAAGTTCTGCAAGTTCATGCCAAGCTTCTTGGTCCCCAACAAATCTGGTGAGAGGAAAAGGGGGGAAAAAGTGTGTAGATATTCTGTAAATGAACAGCATGGAGGCAAAAAGGAAAATCAAATGCAAATTCCATTTTAATTAAAAAAGATTTATCAGAATAACAAAACACAATCCTCTTGTAAGACACTCACTGTTCCAGATACTCATTCAATTCCCGAATGGCCTCCACATTTTTCCCCTGGGCTTTTCGAATGGCAATCTTACGCTTTCTTGCAGCCTATGGGTTGACATTAATAAAGGATTAGGCCCTCATGATTCCCTGGGTTTTTGTAAAGAAGGTAATTTGACTGTGCAAATTATTATCTCAATGCCAGTGAAATTCCATTGTAGAACTACTGCTTAGTGGGAGTTTATAAACATACCCCATGACATCCCACTGGGGAATTCAAACATTCCTCTAACAATCACATATGCTTTACTTTTGATGTACACAATGTATGCATCATTTCATTCAAATAAATAACCATCCAGATTCTGATAATTACAAGCCAGCAGGGAATCCTAATCTTTACCCAGCCTAAAGTCCTTTACTCTGTCTCATTCATGAGATTTGTATGTTAAGAGAGAGAGGGATAGTGGAGATTAGGAAAAAAAAAAATCTCACCATGGCCACATGAATTATAAAATATAGCTCCTGATAACTTTTTTCACAGTTTTAAGAGAAATAACTACCTGTAAGTCTTTCAAGAATAACACAGGACCAGAAAAAAATATTTTATAAATAGACAAAACATCTAAACTTGCATTTTAAAGTTTTTAAAATGAATATAAATATCAATGTCATTGATTTATGCATTCATCAAATATGTACTGAACATCTACCGTTTGACAGGTACTGTGCAAAACAATGAAAATATGAGGATAAAAAAAGAACAAATAATTCCTCATTATCTCATGAGAAGCTCATGAGAAAGACACAGCAAATAAAAAGAGAATGATAGAGATATCTAGGGTGTCATGCAACATGGAGGAGAGCCTAACGCAGGCTGCGGCAGAATGGAGGAGGTGTAAGGGCCAGAAGCAAAGAGGGCCCCAGATGTGATACCTGTACTGAAATAGAAAGAGCAAAGATACATTAAAAAAGCAAAAGAGGGAACTGTTTGAAGGACAGGGCATAGATGGAGGAACATAGAACAAAAGTAAAGAAGACAGCAACAGTGTGTGTAATCAATATTATCCATTTGAGGCTGGAGTTAACAGGGACTGGAGGGTACTATGTAAATTATTAAATTTTTATCTCTTCCATCTCTGTTTAACTCAATGCAGATAGCTAAGCAATAAAACAAACAAAAGCTATAGCTAAGTTAAGTTTATTAATTATGAACATGATTGTTACTGTTTTATATAATACATACTCCACAAGCTGTAGACAAGGAAAGTAAAATGAATGGAGCCTCTTTGACAAATGGAGCTACCTGTCATGGGTGAAAAAGGTGGGGGTTTTGCTCTGAAAAAGTGAGAGTCAAAAAATCAGAGAGAATCAAGAGACTCCCAATAAATAAGACCATGAGTGATATTTATAATAACAATGATAACAACATTTTGGCAATAAAAAATGTAATGTGTTAAAAAATGTATTATCCTTAATTATTCAGTTCATGCCAAAGGCCTAACACAATGCCTGCTAAATGGTAGGTACTCAAATATTTTTGGAATAATTTCACTATGTACAACAATGAAAATGCCATAATAAATGTACCATTTAAAAAGCCTCAAGAATTCAGAAAGTAAAAGAAAAGCTCTAAAAGTAACTCAATCCTAAAGACTTTACAAAGAATATTAGACTTCAAATGAAAGTCTTCTCCCAAGTTCTTCTGAAAATAGGTGATGGATAAATTAACATGTAATTAAGAAACTAATTTATTTTGGATATATAATATCTAATTTCACCAATCCAACATCATTTGAAACATTTAACTCTTTATTCCTTTCATTTATCATAATACTACTTCTTCTATAGACAATATGGTAGAACAGAGTCCACATTTTAAAATAAAAAAGACAAGAAACAAATCCCAACTATTGGCACTTACCAGCTTTCTAACCAAAGGCAAAAATACTACCACATGCTGACATAAGAACCAATTTTTATTTATCATGATAATTTTAAATAAGCATTAAGGAGGGATTTCATTTCTGGCCAAGATGGAATTAGATTTACCCTCTTGCCTGAACCAACCAAAGAACTAGATTAAATACGCAAAATAATTTTTAAGGCACAGGACAACAGGCAACAAAGAACAGTGATCCCTGAGAGGCTGGAAACAAATGAGGTGAGCCCTATTTTTATTGCCCTGGCTCACTGCTTTGAGAGAGTTTCAGGGGTCCTGTGCAAGAAGAGAAAATCAGGTTGAGTTCAGTGGACTCTGTGAATTGAGAAGGAGCAGAGAGCTCAGGAAGATTAAAGGCTAGAGTTTGTAGACATAGCACTGGAGAAGAAAGAATACAGAATAAAAACTCTAGATTCCCCTTGAATCTCAAGGGCTTCCCTCAAGTACTCAGCGTTGTACTGATCAGTGCATGAGTGTGAAAAAACTACCCAAAGCCAAGGAAAGAACCACCAGAAAGGTTTAGGGGGAAGTGTCTGGAGCTCACATAGGGCTGGGAATAGTGCCTCTTCCTACCAGCCAGACTGGAAAATGCCATGATTCCTGTGGCACTGGCTAGAATACCCAGAAGGATGTAATGGAGAATAACTAGCTAGCCCTATAAGCACTTTCTGGACCTCTCTAACAGAGACCCAAAAGGATCAAATTGTTTTCAAGTAACTTAATTATAACCCAAAAGAAAGCTCAAGAACACATTTTGGGAATATAAAAATGGAAAAGAGCAAAGAGAACTTTTGAAGATGATAGTTTTGTTCACCTATCTTGACTGTGGTGATGGCTTCACAGGTGTATACAAACATTAAAACTTACCAAATTGCACACCCTACTTAAATATATGCAGTCTATTCTACATCAATTATATGTCAAAACAGTTTTAAAATAGTATTAATTGGACTAAATGTTAAGTAGAGTCTTGAATATTTATCAATTTCCATTTATTTCTTTCTTATAGTTTTTTTTTTTTCCTGTAAAATATGTCAATGTTCTGAATTTTTCTAAATGTCTCATTTGGATCAATCTTTGCAAATGTCAGTTTAAGTCTTAAAAATGAAAACTGTTCTACATTTTATAAGTGATTTTAATAAGTTAGAATTCCTATTATAAAATATAAAATATTAATGACCACGAACAAATCTTCATCAAACTTGCTACATGCCTTCTATAACATTGTGTACAAGGGGGCTAGCCAGCAATTCTTCCTGAAACTCTTGTCATATCTCAAAAAATAAGCTACGGGGTGGGGGGGGGGGGGGGATACTACTTAGGAAAGGATTAAAGGATTAAGGTCTACCAGCAAAATACAATCTACATCTCTCCCTACTGCAGATTCTGGGACCCAGAAAGAAACAGACCATTGGCCAACAGAAGGAAAGCAGTGTTCTGGGTTCTTCCAGGGCTTATGCCCATGACCGTGGGAAATGTGACATTCTAAAAGTATCTTCACCCTTGGCACAGAAGCAATTACATCTAATTCTAAAACAAAACTTCAAATATTTGATAAATCACAATAGGCAGTTCACAATTCAAGGTAAAATCTGATCGTTCTGAAATATGAAATTCAACTAAAAAGACAATAATTAACATACTTCCTTCTGAAAAGTATTCATTCAACAAGTGTTCACTGAAGGCCTACCATATGCTAGGCATTAGTTCATGCAATGGACATAATTTTTTCCCTCAAGGAGCTTTCAAAGGAAGAAAAGCCTACTTTTATTTTAAAAGCAAGCAAACAAAAACCTGACTGGTGCTTAGGCAACATAAGGGATAAAAGCTTAGTGAACCTAATCCAATATTTGACTCTCACAGGTTAATGACTAAAACTTTCACATTTGAGAGATACCCTTCTAAAAACCATTCACGGCTAAGTAATTTTAATTGTTTGTGTACTTTCACAGCAAAATATTCTTTCATCCATTCCCTATCCCTTCCAATTCCACTTGTCCTAGGGTTTAGACCCCCATAGTCTCTGGCCTAGGATAGAACAGCCTCCAAATTACAAATTATTTCATCTCTGCACCTCCTTCAAACTATCTCCCATATTATTAACAAAGTTCTTTCTAAAAATATCTGGTGGTATTTCCCTAATCAAAATTTGACTTTATTGTCCATTTTCTTTTTTTCTTTTTAGAGAGAGCAAGCGAGTGTGTGAGAAAGAGGGGTGGGGCAGAGAGAGAATCTTAAGCAGGCTCCATGCTCAGAGCCTGACACGGGGCTCGACCTCACAACCCACAGATCATGACCTGAGCCAAAATTAAGAGTCAGATGCCCAACCAACTGAGCCATCTAGGCACCCCATTCATTGTCCATTTTCTAAGAATAAAAATTAAATTCTGAAGTGTCACATACCAGGTTGTTCACAAATATACACTATCTTGTTGCATCTCCAGTCACTTTGTACAATGAACCAATTCAGAGGTATAAAATATTGTTCCTCAGAACCCCAATTTTTCTCAGAGGTTAATGAGTAGGGAAGAAGGGAGAGGTTAACTATGTAGAGCACCAGAACCATGCCCTTTCTTCAACAAGAACAGAAATAAAATTTCATTTGAAAAACCTATTGAAGGAGGCAGTTCAGAAGAGAAATACAAATGGCTTTTTAAGCATATTAAAAGATATTCAACATCACTCATAAAGCAAATTATAACATGATAATGTTTTTTACCAATTAGACTGGCAAAGGTTAAAAACAAAAAAGCTGATAGTATACGATGTGGGAGGATACAGGAGAAGAAGCACTCTCATTCCACAGAAATGAATATGGATGGCTAAAAAGCCTTTGTGGAAGGAAATTTGGTAACATCTATCAAAATTTAAAATGCATGGATCTCCAGACTTAGATTCCAGAGGAGGAATCCATCGTACAAATTACATTCACTGCAACACTGTACCTGGGAGGAAGATATCAAAATCAACCTAAGGGTTTATCAAGGGGGACTTACTTCAAGAAACTGTTTTTCAAGAAACTGTTTTTCATACATCATGCAACACAATGCTACGCAGCTATTCAGAGGATGATGTAAGGATGTGCTGACATATAGCATGATCTTTACAATGACTGCAAGTAGAATATGCCACCATTTGCATTTCCGACAACTCTCTGTCAAAAGGGATACACTGATACACAAATGCATATTTGTGTGTGCACAAGGGAAAAATCTCTGGAAGAACACATAAGAAATTGTTAATAATGTTTGCCTAAGTGAAGGAGGATGTGAGATCAGGGGTGAGAAGACAGACTTATTTTTCACCATATATTCTTTTGTATTGTTTGTAATTTTTAACATGGGTATGTATTACATTTTCAAAAAAATATTTCACAACCTTTTAAAAATATATGGGGGGAAAGTCCATTTCGGCATCCTCCCTGAAGAAAATTTGAAAACTTCCTTTCTAATCACTTTATTCTTTCTTCCCTAGGTAGACTTTGTACTTAAATAGTGCCAAGGTTTCATTCATGAGATATGAGGACATTCCCCAGTCCATCATCTTTGCTTCATTTCAACCACACTCATCCTTCAAGGCCCGCAAGGCTCAAAAATCACACAAAAAGTGACTAAAAATTTAACAGCTATTTTCAAAGTCCATAATCTGCTCACTACACCACTCTGCAACCCTAAGTACAAAGTCAAGTGGGTGTCTAATTTGTTCTTCTATTCCCAGCACACTGTAAGCACTCAACAAATGTTTTTTTTGAAAGATTAATGAATGCATAGGAGAGGGAAGCAGAGCTCCTTAAAACCTGAATGAACAACCTCATTTTTATACTGGACATCTAGAAACATAGAAGCACAAGACCAATAATAGAGTCATATGATCACTTTTATACAATGCAAAGAAGAAGTACAGTGTAAAAGCTTGATGAGGGTGCAACTAGACTTTCCCACCTTTGAGGTAATACTTTACAGTTGCTTTGAAAAAAGAAACTGTGATGTCTTCTACACTGCCACTTAACTGTTTAATGTAAATGAATTCTTCCCCTACTAGACTTAATGAGCTCTAGGTCTTATATGGTTTTGTTATCTCCCTCAAAGTCTACCACAGTGCTTTCTATGGATACATTGACAGAAACTGTCTTTATTCTTAGTAACACCAACATTCTGGTGGCTCATGACAGACACTCAATAAACATTTACAGAAGGACAGAAGGGACTAAGGGGACATTAGATAAAGATAATATTTAATGAAAGAATAATACATTTAGCAAAGCTGAATTTAGTCACCTTGTTTTAAAATGTTTACCTAGCAACTAAGGGACTTAGTTACTACCACCTCTTACATGGTCTATGAATGAAACCATTTGGGTTTTTCTTTTAGTCAATCTTAGAGCCATAGAATATGAAAAGTACTACAAACACAGAGAAATAATTACATATTATCTTAGAGCCTGAAAAAGTGAAATAACTTATTAAAAATATCTCCAACTTAAACTAACACAGAAGTAAAATGTTTGACTCCTAATTCCAAGAAAATAAATCAAAAGCTATTGACTTTTAACCTAGTATTAAAAAAAAAAAAACATGAAACAAACTTTTTTCAGAAACTTGATTTCACATTTTCAATATTTGGATACCTGAAAAATGAATACCCTTGAAATTGTAGTGAAGTCTTATAACTGAAATAAGTACATGAGAAAAGCTTCAGGAAAAGAAAAATGGTGCCATTTTATTGAAACAGGTGGCAAGTGATTAGGATAGTTAAGATTAAAAAAATTATTCAGAACTTTCCAATTTTAACTCTTTTATTGGAAATATGTAGATAAACTAACAGAAGCTCTATTTTTGATTTTTTGTTTTGTTTTGTTTTTTTATAACGCATAGGCTTGCAGCTCTGTCAAAACTTTTCCTTGAACATTGTATATGCTGAGAAGCCTCACAAAATAATAAATACTTGCTATTCAACTATCTACCTCTACCTCCCCCCCCCCCAAAAAAGACTTAGGAAGTTTCCAGAGAAAATTTCCCTGGGATGGAATATTAAAAGCAAAAATCTAAACCATTTCACTATATATATATAACCACACTGTATAACTTACACAACGTTACTTGTCAATTATATTTCAATAAAGCTGAAAAAAGACTACCATTTAAGCAACAGATGTAAGTATTTACCACAGAGTATCAGAAGGGACAAGCAGAGATCAGGGATTTATGACCAATGAATGCCTGTGATAAATGCTAACTGAATATTGCACACTTCGATATTAAATAATTGCCCAATATAGCATAAATAATTTACTTAAATTGAGTAAAGTAACTAAAATTCAATTATCAAGTATATTTGCATCTTATAATCCATAATTATACATTAAGTGGCTTTTTAAAAATGTGTATTTTTAATGAAACACTTGCCAAATAAGAGAAAACTTTCATGTATTTGTGTTGTGTTAATATAACAATACCTCCTTCTATAAAAGGACAAAACAAACCCAAACTGGTTTTTGTTTAAAATTTTTTAAAAATATGATTTTCTTTTAGCAGGCATGTGCGCATGGACATAATAAAAAAAAACATTAAAATGCCTGATATGTTATCTAAAATCTAACTTTTCACTGAGTAGAAGGTAAGTCTGAGGAAAGCCATTATGCAAAAATAGTAAACTAAAATATTCTCAAAATTAAAAAAAATCTTCAGGGTATTTTTTTTAATTTTTTTAAAAAGATTTTATTTATTTATTTATTTATTTATTTATTTATTTATTTATTTATTTGAGAGAGAGAGAGAAAAATAGCGTGAGAGGGGAGAGGGTCAGAGGGAGAAGCAGGCTCTCTGCTGAGATGGGAGTCCGATATGGAACTCGATCCCAGGACTCCGGGATCATGACCTGAGCCGAAGGCAGTCGCTTAACCAACTGAGCCACCCAGGCACCTGTCTTCAGGGCATTTTTAAAGCAAAAATACCACATAACTATATTTGGAACAAATAATCTGCCCAATATACTGATATATCTGTTCATATCAGGATAAAGATGTTATCTTATGGGAAACGCAATATATATATTTCTTCTTTATACATATATACATATATGAACATACATATACATGTATATCATATATACCTATATGCATTCCTATTCAAGTATAAGGCAGAAAAAAGCAAAACCAAATCAAAACACCTTTATTAATTCCATATACCAATTACTATGACTTCTTTCATTTTTCACTGAGACAACTAAAATATAACTACCCAAACAAGTTATTTTATCATAAACTTCAAAATACTACAAATCCACTGAGCTCTGCTGGGCTTTTTTGCAAACATATAAAATTTTTTCTTTCTGAATTTCCACTAGTTTCTAATAAGATATCCTATGAGTCAAATTTCACTGAAGAGTTTTATCTCTTTTAAAAATGTGGCCCAACATAGGTATTTAAAAGGATAAAACCTGGTTTCATATGTATTTTTCCATTATTTCAAAAACTGAATTAATTTCATCTTTTAAAACAAAATTTAGACAATCTTCAGGGCAATTCAGCTAACTTACAGTGTTAGTTGGATCTTCTTGTAAAATTCTATCATATAGTTGTATAGCATCATCATATCTACATAAAAAGAAAAAAACATCAAGAATTATTATTTTAAATTTTACTGACAAACAGTAAATACAGAAAAAGATTAAACTGACAGGACTTTAAATGCATTTAAAATTGCAATCCAAGACTCTTCTGATCTTCATGTAACAACAGATATTTGCTACAGTATCATTTTTTACAGAAAAAAATTCATGTATAAAGTATTTATAGAAAAACTTAATATACTGATTCGTGAAGAACAACAAAAAAAGAGATGAAAAAAATGCACTGATCAAATCTGGCCTAAATACAAAGGTAAAAACTAGCAACACAAAGAGATACCTTTGTGGTCCTAGGTATACCTAGAATTACAGCCAATAAAGCATAAGAACAAGTTTAATTTTAATAAACAAATTCATAAGGAAATGATCTGTGATTTAATTCTCCTCTTTAATGAATACTTATGATAGCTTTTCTTAGTTGAGCTGGTTCAGTTCAATTCATTAAGCACCTGTTTAATATACACCTGCAATACACTCTCCTGGGTTACAGTCTTATAAAGGAAATAGTTTACAATTTATCAATGAAAAAAATAATCAAATATTTCAGCCAAAATAAACATTATGTGATAGGGAATCAAGGGGAAGGATACATCAGAAATCACATGAAGAACATCATATACTCCTATATTTGGGAATCTTGTTTAGGGTGTAAGGGAATAACTGATTCTGAAATTCCTTCCTAACAGTATTCATAACCCCAACTCTACTCCAATCAATTTCTCCATTTCTAGGTACAGATCTTTAAAGAAAACAAAGAACAATGTTTAAAAACTTTCACAGCAATGTTTCTAAAACTAGGAACAACAGCTATATCCTTGAGATCTATTCATAAGTTTCCTAAGAGAATTTTTTAATTTTATATTTTTCTCTGAATGATATTCAATATATGAATATTCTGTATCATTACAATGACACATCTTTTAACTAAATGCTGCCCCACAATTTTAGTGCCCAAGCCTCTTTGTGATTATGATCATGCTAGTAGGTAAGAATATTTTAACTGTAGCAGAGAACTGAGAAAAATAAAAGCAGACTTAATTTGTAAATGTGTTCATACCATACAAAGGCCAAACAGCATCACTGCACACTAAGTCAATCAGACTTGAGTAGTTCAAATTAAATTAGTTTGGACTTCAAACACATGGTAATATAGGAAGTATGTTAGCCTCAAAAGAGCCTGCAACTAAATGGGGAAACCTAAAATAAAATCATTTAATAGTAATAAAACAAAACAATGAAGTATATAAATAAGGACAAAATAAATGTTATACAGCAAGGGTTCTCACAAGACAGAGTACACGAGAATCCCCTGGGAATCTTTTTCCAACTACATAACCTCTGACAAACACACTGGAAATAACAGAAGACAATAGGAAACCATTCATTTCATTAATATAACAATAACCTGAATTTTAGTAGTTTTCTAGTTTTTTGGGTTTTTTATTAGAAAACCTACATTGTTTTTATAGTTGTACAAAAACTATACACATAGTGGCACCTGGGTGGCTCAGTCAGTTAAGCATCTGCCTTTGGCTCAGGTCATGATCTCAGGGTCAGGTCAGACTCCCTGCTCAGCAGAGTTTGCTTCTCCTTCTCCCTCTGCCCCTCCCCCCAGCTTATGTGCGCTCTCTCTCTCTCTCTCTCTCTCAAATGAATAAAATCTTTAAAAAAAATAAACTACACACATAAAATATTAATACCTAGTTTTATATTTAAATATATTTAAGTTTTACTATAATTAAAAAATAGTTAAGTTCTGTAAAAACTATGATGGTTAATTTTTCTAACTAAGTGTGATGAATATCAACTTGACTGGCCATATGGTGCCCAGATTAACTATTCCTGGGTATGTCAAAGGATACTGCCAGGTGAGATTAGCATTTGATTCTGTGGGCTCAGTAAAATAGATAGTCTTCCCCAATGTGGATGGACATTACCCAATCCCTTGAGAGCTTAAATAAAACAACTGCAGAGGAAAGAGGTGTTCACCCCTTTTTACTGCCTCACTACTTGAGCTGGGACATCTCATCTCAGCTTCTCCTGCCCTCAGTCTGGAATTTACACCATCGGCTCCCTGGTGCTCAGGCCTTTGGACTTGGACTGAGACTGAACTACATCACCAACTTTCCTGGGTCTCCAAGTTGCAGACAGCAGATTCTAGGACTGCTCAGCCTCCATAATTGCTTCATAATAAATCTCACCCTCTCCCTATGCATCCTTCCTCCCTCCTCTCACCCCTATATATGTACAGCAATATCTTCTTGGCTCTGTTTCTTTACAGAATCCTAATATACTGAAGGTCCACAAGAATTTACCTTTAGTCAGCAATGTTCTCAAACCTATTTGTCTATTCTCCTGCAGGGCTTCTTTTAAGAGAAAGATCTGGATTACACCCCTAACAAAGTGATCTCAGTGAAGTGGGGAGTAGGCAACTACATATTTTTTTTTAAATGCCACAGATCACTCTAATTCAAAGACACATAGTAGTCACTCTTTAAAAAAAAAAAAACAAAAAAAAAACAGCAAAACCTTACTGAATAAAACAATTACATGAGTTTTGATTAAAGAGTAAGGCTTAAAGAATTAGAGTTCAGTAGGTGTCTTAGAAAACTTGACTTAAAAATAAATTATTCTTACCATACCAATTTTTTTGTTTGGTTAGAAGATGGGTAGAGGGATAGTAACTATTAAAATGTGTGCTTTGGAAACTAGTACCTCTCAAATCTTTACAAATTAATTTTAAAAATCATTCATCTTAGCACTGGGTGTTATACGCAACTAATGAATCATTGAACATCACATCAAAAACTAAAGATGTACTATATATTGGCTAATTGAATTTAAATAAACAAAAAACAGAAAAATAAAAAAATCATTCATCTTGGACTCTGGGATATGTTTGGCTATTTACACGTTTTAAGAATGCTCTAGAAATTTATACTATTTGAAATAAAACAAAAAGTGATATTAGAGTAGAACACTGATTCAGGAACAATCCTTTGTAGATTGCTTCCTTCTGTCCTTTGATTCAAAATTACTTTCTGCTAACCTAAAATAATACTATTTTATTTATTTTTCTTTATCTATGCCCTTCACTTGTTTACAGAGACAATCCAATGAGATTAAACTGTATATATTCACAAACACATAAGCTAAGGAATAAAGGGACTAAGAAAAATTATATCAATACATTCTGCTTACTAAAAGCTACTCTAACCGACGTACAAGTTAACTCTGTCTTACCTAAAACACCAAATTAAAACACTGATGAAAGAAACAGAAAATTAAAAGATATCCATGCTCATGGATTGGAAAAATACTGGTAAAATTTTCATACTACCTAAAGTAATGTAATGATTCTGTGTAATCTCTATCAAAATTCCAATGGCAGGGGCACCTGGGTGGCTCAGATGGTTAAGCGTCTGCCTTCAGCTCAGGTCATGATCCCAGGGTCCTGGGATCGAGTCCCACATCGGGCTCCCTGCTAGGCGGGGAGCCTGCTTCTCCCTCTGCCTCTGCCTCTCTCTCTCTCTGACTCTCATGAATAAATAAATAAAACATTTTAAAAAAATATTAAAAAAAAATTCCAATGGCATTTCCCACAGAACTAGAATAATACCAAAATTTGCACAGAACCACAAAAAGACCTTGAATATCCAAAGCCATCCTGAGCAATAAGAACAAAGCTGCAGACATTATACTTCCTGATTTCAAACTGTATCAAAGGTATAGGAATCAAAACATTATGGTATTGGCATAACAACATAAATTAATGTAACACATAAATTAATGTAACAACAGAAAATCAAGAAACAAACCCACACATACATGGCCAAATGATTTACAAAACAGAAGCTAAAAATACACAATGGGAGGATAGTTTCTTCAATAAATGGTGTTGGGAAAACTGGACAGCCACATGCAAAAAAATAAAACTGGACCACTACCTTTACACCACACATAAAAATCAACTCAAAATAGATTAAAGACATCAACATTAAGACCTGAAATAGTAAAACTCCTAGAAGAAAACCTAAGCAGTAAGATCTCCGATGTCAGTCTCGGTGATGATTTTTTAGATTTGACACCAAAAGCAAAAGCCAACAAGAGCAAAAATAAAGAAGTGGGACTACATCAAACTCAAAAGCTTCTGTACAACAAAGAAAACATTCAACAAAATGAAAAGACAACCAAGACAGACATACAGATGGCAAACAGGTACATGAAAAGGTGTTCAACATCACTAATCAACAGGGAAATGAAAATGAAAACCACAATGAGCTACTACCTCACACATATTAGAATGGCTATTATCAAAAAGACAAGACATAACAAGTGTTGGCAAAGATGCAGAGAAAAGGAAACCCTTGTGCACTGTTGTTGGGAATGTAAATTGGCATAGACACCATGAAAAACAGTATGGAGGTCCCTTAAAAAATTCAAAATAGAACTACCATTTGATCCAGCAATTCCACTTCTGGGTATTTAACCAAAGGAAACAAAATCACTATCTTGAAAAGATATTTCCAACCTCATGTTCATTGCAGCATTATTTGCAATAACCAATACATGGAAACAACCTAAGTGCCCACTGACAGATGAGTGGATAAAGAAGTCTGACATAATGGAATATTATTCAGCCATAAAAGAGAAAGAAATGCTTTCATTTATGACAACTTAGATGGACCTTGAAAGCATATGCTAAATGTTAACAGTCAAACAGAGAAAGACAAATACTACATGATCTCACTTACATGTGGAATCAAAAAGAACACAAACTCACAGACACAGAGAACAGATTAGTGGCTGCCAGAGGTGGGCAGTAGGGGTGGGCAAAATAGGTAACAGTGCTCAAAAGGTACAACTCTCCAGTTATAAAATAAGTCCTGGGAATATAATGTACAGCATAGTCACTACAGTTAACAATACTGTGTTGTGTAAGTGAAAGTTGCTAAGAGAGTAAATCTTAAAAGTTCTCATAAGAAAAAAAATTATAACAATGTATGGTGATGGATACTAACTAAACTTACTGTGGTAATCATTTCACAATATACACAAATATCAAATCATGATGTCATACACCTGAAACTAGCACCATGTCAATTACATCTCATTAAAAAAATAAATAACTTCAATACCTTGAATACCTGAAAGGGTACTACACATATGTCATTACTAATGCCCAAAACAACCTTGATAAATTGGTAGTATTCTCATTTTGCAGAGGAATAAGGCTAAAAGGCTTTAATAAGTTATATAATGTGCCAGATAAACAACTAATAAGTCCTAGAAACAGGATATAAAACTAATCCTTACTCCAAAACACAATCCCATTTCACTAGGCCAGAGATGGTAAATGAATTGCACTCCTGTGTCAAATCCTATTTATTGGGAGTAACTGGCAAGATTTATGCTGAAAAGCACTCTGACACTATTCTGAAGCTCAGTAGCAAAAGATCTTGCACAATTAATGATGTTGTCATGGAGGTAGGAGGACCTATATCTAGACCCATATTTGCCATTTTAAAATGGGATCATACTGTTTTTAAGATTCAGTTACCTTTCCATGGCTTCAAATCTCATGCCAGTTAGTCTCTTGACTCTGTGACTGCCAGGGAACTGTCTTCTCAACTCCTGAAGACAAAACTGAAAAAGTAATCGGTAAAAAAGATTTAAAGAGTAGTAATTACATTACATACACTAAATGGCTACAAGGAATGGCCTATATAGTCTTCAATGTATCTTCTTAAATCATTTCATCAGTGTACTCTAATAACATGAAGTGAAATTAACTGGTAATGAATAATGGGGTAAAAGAAGAACTCTGAAATTACAGTGGGAGCAACAATCAGTTCTCAGAAACTGATTATACTCTTAACTGGGAAAATAAGCAGGTCATGGGATACACTAATAACTCTTCAGATACTGCCATATTACTCCTCCTTCACAATTGCTTCCATAAGGTGTTAGGCCCAACTTAAACGTTTATAACAACTTCCTGGCTTTTAGTTTCTATTATCTAAGCATTCTCTTGATAAAAATTAAGCTCTTTGACAGTACTTCCAGGTCCTGCAAATATTATAACACTATTTGCCCTGTTAATACATGCCCTCATGTATTAACCAATCATTTTGTCAGTACACATACCATGATTTGGGGTCATAAAACACAGACACCAAATCTGGAGAGTACCAATCTCCTTTGGGAGATATCCATAATTCACCCATCAACTTCAATAAATAAATAATCAAGTATTTTGAGCACCAACTATGTTCTCAGCAACATATGAGGATTTTAAGAGTCTTGGAAGTACTAGAAATATTAAGGATTATAAAAATGGTCCATTCTAGTGCCCCAAAGCATAAGTGACCAAAAAAATACCTTTTCACTATAGTAATAAAGTAAGTTATAACATGATCTGGAAGTATAGCTTTCAAATATGTGGCTAAAAATCTGCCACACTAAGAAAAATATTCAAGTTAGTCAAAACTGAAGACGACGTTCGCTTATTTCTTTGACACCACACAAAACTCATACTGTTTGGTCAATTAAGCCGTGTAGGAATTCTGAACATTAAAAAAAATACTGTGTTACAAAAAAAGCTACCATTTAATTTGATCTCCTGCTTTGGTTATCAACATTATCTAATTTGATTCTCCTACTTAATCAAATGGCATTTGGCTACTTAAAAAACAACTCAATATTTCCCTTAAGATGTAAGCTGCCACCTCTGTAAATATTTAAAAGACTATTTCAGGGTTCAGTTGGTTAAGTGTCCAACTCTTAATTTCAGCTCAGGTCATGATCTCGCGGTCATGGGATCGAGCCCCAAGTTGGGCTCTGCACTGAGCATAGAGCCTGCTTGAGATTCTCTCTCTCCCTCGCCCCCTGACTCTCCCCCCTTAAATGATAGATAGATAGATAGATAGATAGATAGATAGATAGATAGATAGATAGATAAATAGACTCTCTCATAGGTTCCAAAGGTAATCTAAAAGGTTTTATGGAATATTTCTTTTTACTACTAGCAGCTCCACTGAAATTAGATGTATAGCCAACATAACATAATTAATTACCTTGGAAAAAAACAATGCTATTTCACCTATGCATATATTCTCTGGTATTTCTACTTTCTGTTTGCATGTACTTTCTTTGTGGCTTAAATGAGAAAGCAGCATAAAGTAGTACTTAAGAACTCAGGGTTATAAAACAATAGAACAAAAAAGCCAAAACCTCCATTTCTTGATTTATGAAATGAGTATAATGATAGTGTCAAGCAAAAATCAAATTAAGAAATAACTGTAAAGATTAAATAAAGTATGATATAAAGCATTTAGCACAGTGCCCATCACAAGTGTTCAAAAATATAGCTATTATCATTCTTTTATTTTAAAAGCAGTATTAGTATTTTAAGTCATATTCTACACGTGTTAGGATTTTCTAATAATTTAGGAGATACATTTACAACATTGCAAAAGAGTATTTAACATTATGTATAGATCTTCCACTTACAATAGGGTTACATCCCAATAAATCCACGGTAAGTTCAAAATACTGAAAGTCAAAAATGCATTTAATACACCTAATCTACTGAACAGCATAGCTTAGCCTAGCATGCCTTACACATGCTCAGAACACTTACTTTAGCCTATAGTTGGGCAAAATCATCTAACACAAAGCCTATTTTATAATAAAGTATCGACTATTTCATGTAATTTACTAAATACTGTACTGAAAGTGAAAAACAGAATGGTTGTATGGGTATAGAATGGTAAGTTTATCAGTTGTTTACCCTTGTGATCACATGGCTGACTGGGAGGTATAGCCTACTGCCACTGCCCAGCATCATGAGAAAGTATCATACCACCTACCATTAGCCTGGGAAAAGATCAAAATTCAAAGTATAGTTTCTACTGAATGTGTAATACTTTCACACCATCATAAAGTTGAAAAATCATAAGTCAAATCATTGTAAGTCAGTGACTCTGTTATAAAAGTCATTCAACAACCCAAAAGATAAACTTGTTTTAAACTATATGCTTATTTTAAACTCTATAATAGCATAATTTACCTCTTAACTAGATAACCTTCACCAACTAATTTAACCTCTTCAGTAAAACTGGAATACTAAGTACTTCCCAAGATTATTAAAAAGATTTAAGAACATTCCCTGTCCCAAAGCACCTAATTAGTCTCTCCTATTCTTAAAGAGTAGCATTGAAAACGACCTATAAAAGCATTCAAAAATACAAGCCATGTACTAAGTTTTAGCTACTTATAATTCATGTAGCAAATTTAAAATAAAATAAAATATAATTAGTTCAAATACTTACCAATGCCAAGTCATCTCGACCATAGTCTAGGGCTGCAATCATCACTTGCTCATATATGATCCAAACTAGACACAGAGAGAGAAAAAATGAATTTAATGTAAAAATCTCCCAACAGAAATTATTCTTCTTGTTTCTGATATCTTAGAGAACGTTACTTGCAACTGAAAATTGATTTATTACATATCTAGAATTAAGAAAGCATCCTTATGTGCTTTCAGTAATGTAAAATATTTTAATATCTTATAAGGTTAAAAAAATCTACTATTATTTAATACCTTTGCTCTTCTAAAAAATTCTTAATGAAATACATTTTGACCAGACCAGGACTATAGCCCTGTGAGCTTTAAAAGAAAAATATCTATTTGATTGCTTCACTACAACCAGCAATTAGAAATCCTTCTCAAAATAATGCATCATTAGACATCCTGAGAAGTTTTTTAAAAAAGGGACAAATCATAGATTGATATAAACAGCAGGAAAAACATAACAAAAAGATGCTTTAAAAAAAAAAACAAAACTAAAAACCAAAACAGAACACAAGCCAAACATGAATAAAGAACTTACTATCATCTCCAAGCTTAGAAGCATATTCATTAATTAATTCCTCTCCAACTTCCACAATTTGCTCACTGTTTCGTGAGTTTTCTTCTCTCCATTTTCTCATTTTATCTCGCATTTCTGAAAAATAAAGTTTGTTATTACATATATTTGATCAGTATCAAAAAATTGATAAGGAAGTTGAAATCAACTTCTCAGGTAGAGAAAATAAAGTCACACTAATATAAGTCTATGGTATGTCAAAACTCATAAAGCAGAAAATCAATTTAACAAGAGCAACAGATCCTTTGGAAGATTAAAGACCTTACAACTGATGTTACGACTATAAAAGTAATGAATGGCATTGGTCCGCTATAAAGATCCTCTAACCCTTTAAGCAAGTATGGATCTTCACTTTTTTGAAGTTATAGACAACTCTCAGAAATTGATAAAAGCTAGAGATAATCTTCCCAGGAAAAAAAAAACACATAAAATTATACATATAAATCTCAAAAATCCAAAGTACTCCTGAAGCTCCTACTCACTCAAGAATGTAAAATTTCATAATAAGGGGATCATATTAGGCAATCAGCACTGAAAGGACAGTCATCACAAAACTTCCTTAATAACATTACAAAAGTATATATAATGTATAAAGATACACAACCATGCAAGAAAATAAACAGCAACAGATTCAGAACAAAGGAAATCTTTCGATTATATATACAATAATAAGAAAAATGTAAAGTAAGGTAAAAAGCACTAGCAAACAAGTCACAAGAACCACTTTGCATATTATAAAACAAGAGGAAACAGGAATTTTAATGAACAGCATATTGACAACAGCAGGAATAACGAGGAAAAAGAAAGAGTACCTAATCCAGTAAACAAACGATCTTTTTCATATAGTTACGGTAGAATGAAATGTCCAATTCGCCAATCACATACATGCTTTCTTACTCCTACCTCTGAAAATCTAACATACTTATTCATCTGAAGTACCAACTTCTTCCTTCTACAGACACAGATATAGAGTAGATTTAAACAGTTAAATTGTTCTTAAACACATGAGTTAAATAAATAATATGCTAGGCCCCTAGAGAAAAAGTATAAAAGAAGCACAATGGATTTTTACACGGATTTTCACACTTTCATATGCATTATCTGAGTCCCTATAGCTCAAAGTCTAAAACAAACAGACAAAAAAAACAAAAATCCAAGACAAAAACAGATCCTAAATGGTCTGAGAAAATCAAATTAACACACAGTTAATTCCTTCTACTGACAACTAGAAATCAGCTTGACTCTCACTCCACAGAGGAAATAACCTGAACTGAAACTTACAAGGTTGAAGAGGAAATGGACAAAAAAAAAAGTCATTCATACCCCACAGGTTAAGGGCTCAGTCCCACAAAACTGCCCCCACTTTAGACAGCAATCACAAGTCAGGGCCACCAGTATTTCTGACCAATTGTCTATAAAGTCTGGGGTTCGGGGCGCCTGGGTGGCTCAGTTGGTTAAGCATCTGCCTTTGGCTCAGGTCATGATCTCAGGGTCCTGGGATCAAGTTCCGCATCGGGCTCTCTGCTCAGCAGTGAGTCTGCTTGTCCCTCTCCCTCTGCCTCTGTGATCTCTCTCTCTCAAATAAATAAATAAAATCTTAAAAAAAAAAAAGTCTGGGGTTCTCACAACCACCTCCTTAGGTTTGCAAGAATGCCTCAAGGAACTCAGATAAGTGCTTCACTTATTATTATGGGTTTATTATAAAAAATACAACTCAGGAACAGCCAAATGGAAGAGCTACATAGGGCAAAGGGGGGGCGGGAGGAAGGGAAGGGAAGCAGAGGAACTTCCAAGTTCTCTCTAAGCGAGTCACCATCCCAGTACCTTGATGTGCTTACCAACCTGGAAGCTCTCCAAACACCATAGCTTAAGGGGGTTTATGGGGATTTCATTCCACCTGCATGATTGATCTCCGGATGATCTCCCCTCCCAGGAAGTCAAGGAATGAGACTAAAATTCCAACCTTTTAATCTTGCCCTGGTCTTTTGGATGACCAGCCCCCAACCGGAAGCAACCAGCCTCCAATCATCTCATTAGCAGACAAAAAGATACTCTTAAAATTCTAGAAACTCCAAAGATCTTAAGACGCTCTTGTGTCAGAAACCCAGAAAAAAAGACTAAATATAACAAAAACTGTTCCTATCGATCCTATCATTCAGAAAATTTCAAGGGTTTAGGAGCTCTGTGACAGGAAGTAGGGACAAAAAAACAAATACACACCCCTTAACACATCACAACATATGTTATCTTTAGATCCACAGCATGGGTTCTCAAAACTCATTCAAACTCTATCCCCTATACCATGGTTCACTTACAGTCTTAAATCCATATTCAATTTCAACCTGGCAGATTATTTTATCTTAAAGATTTATTTATGGGTACCTGGGTGGCTCAGTTGGTTAAGTGACTGCCTTCAGCTCAGGTCATGATCCTGGAGTCCTAGCCAGGATCAAGTCCCGCATCAGGCTCCCTGCTCAGTGGGAAGCCTGCTTCTCCCTATGACCCTACCCCCTCTTGTGCACTCTCTCTCTCTCAAATAAATAAAATCTTTAAAAAAAAAAATTAAAAAAAAAAGATTTATTTATTTATTTGAGAGAGAGAGAGCATTTAGAGGAGAGGGGCAGAGGGAGATGGAGAGAGAAACCCAAGCGGACTCTGCACTGAGCACAGAGGCTGACCCGAGGCTTGATCTCACGACCCTGAGATCATAACCTGAGCCAAAACCAAGAGTCAGATGCTTAACCAACTGGGCCACCCAGGTGTCCCAACCTCACAGATTATTTTAAAAGAGGAGCAAATGCCTTGGAAATATAAATTATTTAGTGTTTTACAGATCTTATCCATAACACTGCACCCTTTGCCCATATGCTGAACCCAAATTAGGCTAGCATTCAAGGCGCCAACCTAGCTCTTACCTTGAAAAAATTACCTTCACAAAACATATCCATATCCATAAGTATGTATCTTTAGCTTTGAAGTGAAATCTCAGGGTATGTTCCATGAGATCTGGGATCCTGGCTGTCTTGTTTAGCACTGTATCCTCAGGAACTGGTACAGTGCCTAGTGCAAAGTACTCCAGATATGTATTTAATTAACATGTTATTTAGTATATAGGCTAATAGTTAAAGCTAGGTGTGAATGAGATCACCCATAGAAGGCATTTAACCTTTTAATTTTAGACTCTTTGAATCTGATGAGACCTTTGAACCCTCTTTTCCCAGAAAGATGTACATGTTTACATACATTCAATTTTACATACAATTTCAGGGAATTCAAAGACCACATAAAACTTACCCCTCCATCAGTCAGGATTCTATTGATCTCAGGTTTAATAACCACCAATAATAGATTAAGTAGAGTGCTAAGAAAAGGACCATTAGGGGACACTAAAAATCAAGGAGCGAATGGATATAGAAAACTCACAAAGGAAAGGTCTGAAAAGTAAGAGGAGACCCATAATGTTATTATGAAACCAAGTAAAGAATGTTTCATGGAGTGATCCGCAACAACAAATATAATATGGGGTAAAAAAACCCACATTCATTAGAACTGGCATTAGGTTTCCCTAGAAACCTTACTGGAATGAGAGGGCATGGAAACCAAATTATGTTGTTTGAAGGACTGAATAAAGAGAAAGTAGAGAAAGTAGAGACAGTAAGTATTTTTATAATTATTTTTCCAACAAATATTCATTTAGTGCCTATTTCAAGCCAGGCATTGTGCTAGACATCCTATCCATATCCTGGCCAAATATCCTATTTTTGAGAAACTTGGCTATACCCTTCTTACAACTCTCTTTCCCACCTCCAAACTCCTAAGAAGTAACTCCTCTAACAAACATTAATTTTCAACCGGTTGAAAAGTAAACCATATATTCTACTTTTTTTATAGAGCCCAAAAGATTAGAAGTGTTAGATTTACTATATGGGTCTTTTATAAACGTGATAAATTTTCCTATCACAAGAATTATAGTACTTTTTTGAACAAGCCATTTCCACAACCTTAATTCATGATGCTGTTCAATGGAATTCTTAAGGACACAGGTCCAACTGACATGCCCTCCCAAAAAAAATCTAAACAAAAAACTATCACTAATGATGTAATGTATGGTGATTAACATAATAAAAAATTATTTTAAAAAAAACTATCTCTAAGAGTCCTCTATCACCTTCTAAAATCCTAAAAATTTGTTACTATAAGTCTTTGAAAGAAAAATCTAGATCACTCTTTAAAAGTCCCCTAAAATAGAACTCTGATTCTGGAAAGGTCTGAAACCTTCATTTTACAAATAAGGAAACTATATCCTATTAGTAAAGCGAGCTGCCTAAGTCTACCTAAGATACTACAGAAATTTTTCCAATACTAGAAAAATGGCTTATAGTCTTTTGTGACAATTTGTTAATGTTTATTATTAATGCCATTAACAATTCACTTAGTCAACAAATAATGACTGAGCAACTTCAAAATGTCTAGCACAAGACCAAGATATGACTGGTCCCTCCCTCCATTCTAGGAGACAGAAGTTTAAAACTTAACAAATTGGATAAGTACTTCAATAGTATGAGGACAAAGAGTTAAGGGCCAGGAGTACATTTCATTGCTTTTGTTGTTGTCTTTTTCTTTTTAAAAAATTTTAGTGGAGGGCTAGCGTAAGGTGGTCAAGGAAGGCTCTCTGAAGTTTGTGATCTTTGAGGGAAATTCTGATAAACAGAATATATAAAAGTAGCAAGAATAGGGCAAGAAAGGAAAAACACTCCTAGTGGAAGAAATAGCATCTGTCCAGCCCTAAGACAAAGAGGAGTAGAACACATTTAGGGAATTAACAAAAGCCAGCATAGCCAGCTCATAAAGTAAGGGAGAAAATAGTTAAGATAAAGCTGGAGACATGGGCAGGATCATCTTTTTTATAAAGCACTTAATAGTTTAAAAGCACTTTAACATGCTCTCTTTTGTTCAATCATACTTGTGAATTAGCTAATATTTATTATTCTAAATCCACTCCTCCTCAGAATACCCACAGGATAAGGTCCAAGTTACCTAGTTAAGTCACCTTGTCTGCTGGTAGGTATGATAGTTACACGTCTACTTGTTCCTACCATCTAAGAAACCTATATTGAACATACCTTCAAAGTAAGACTTTCTAAAAAGCATGAAATATTTTAAACATTTTTTAAAAAGCATTAAAAGTAATAGCCACATATCTACCATCTGGCTTAAAAATATATCCTGACACAAGCCTTTTAAAACTATGTATTTTAAAGGTCTGTCCTCTCCATTAGACTGTGAACTCCCTAAAAGTAAGGACTGTGTGTTACTTAATTTAATATACCCAGGATCTAGCACAAAGCATTTAATACTTTCAATATAATGAATTCCCCAAATGCAGGTAGAAATACTGTTCACAGTGAGCTAGAGGCCACAAAACCAATGATAAATTATTGAATTCAGTTTAAGTATAAAGGAATTTTACCTTTTCCCATACATGTTTGCAATTTTGTAATACTGGATAGATACATTCACCATTAAATGGTCAATATAACTTTCAGTCCACATGTTATTAGGTCATCGTTTAAATATCTGAAGAAGGAATTCACTAAACAAATAAGCTATTAAAGTCTACTATTAAATGATGAGAACAGAAATTTCAATTACACAACTTTCATGCCTTAGAGAAACTCGAGGCTCTTCTCTTAACCATGCTTCCCACTAGTCTTTAAGAGAACAATCTCTTACAGAATTGGTTCAAAGTTTGGCTGCTTCCAGATTTAAACAACACACTCCACCTTAGATTAACGTAGGATGGGAAAAGAAGTCCATCACACTTACGCATATGCCCAAGATAACCAGTTATTTTCCCTTTCAGAAAAGGAATTACTGGTAGGAAGTGAGAAGAAAGTTGTGTTGTCTAAGTGTGTTTTGAGGGGGAGTGGAACAGCGAATATTGAAGAGAATTCAGAGACCCAGTTTTGCAGACAGAACGAAATGTAAAGTGGCACGTAGAAAAATCAGATTTGTTCATGGGTCTTTCACAGACCTTTACTGCACAGAGTTGTAACCTTTACACAGCACTTAATAAAAGGCCTTATAGACCCTGTGTTTCTTGGCTGCAGGGAAGCTTCAGCAGGCAACTATCCCGCCTCCTCCGCGCCGCCCAGCAACCACATGAAATGTGTGACAGCCCTCCCGCCTTATAATGGAAGCTACCCTGGGCCACTGTACTGGCGCAGAGGCACGTGGGTCAGTCTGTCGATAAGCACAAGCGGTGGGGAACACGGCAGACTCCAGTGGGAGGCCGGGCCAAGGAAGGGGTCAGCCTCAACCACCACCTTAGCCACCACCTTATTTCGGTCCATCCAGAGAGAGCTCCAGTGCAGAAGACAGACCGGAGAATCCACGCCTCCACCGGCAGCAGTTACTGCCGAACCGCTTCCCAGGGCTTTTCGTCTTTACGCACCCGCCCCGCCCGCAGTTACCTTCCCAAGTGACATCGTAAAGCTCTGAGACCTTCGCCATCTTCTCAGAACCGGGAGGCAGGGATTGAGAGGGCGGGGAGATACTGTCACGTGACCTGAGACCGGGCGGTGGCGAATTACGACACAATTTTTCATTGGTCGAAAGAGCGGAGGGGGCGGGAATCGCTGCGCACGTGCACAAGGCTCTGCGGAGAGGCTGTTGGGGAAAGGGGCGGGGCCAGTTGGGCCGCGAGAGGCGTTCACGGACGTTGAGGACGCCGTGGCTAAGCGCTGGAAGGTGGAGTCGGCTTGCTTTGAGGTGACTTTTTACCAGGGATTTTTTTTTTTTTTAGCAAATGCTGTTTTGTTTGTTTTGTTTTTTTAATATGCACCACTCTCGGTTTCTCTTTTTTTCTATATAGGTGTATTTAGTCTCTTCCCACTCCCTAATAGTACCTTGTTCTCGTCATGCACTGCTGCAACGTAACGTTCTGCTCCAATCCTTTATTTGCCCCCAACTTTCCTCCTTCCTTAATGGGGTTTGCTTTCCATTTTCTTTTGAATGTTCGAGTAAACTGATACACTCCAAAAACTTTTTAAAATCTGTTTGAGGGACTAAGCGGGATTCTGCCTTTGCACATTATGTTAGTGTGGCCGAGGACTTCTTAATGTTCACCTGAATGCCTTCTTGCCAACCTGGATCAGTCTGCCACTCTAGATTTGAAAACTCGTAAGACCAGCCCATATGTAAGTCCTTATAAATAAATGAAATACTGAATAAATGTACGAATGAGACCATCCCAGACCCTGCGCTTCGCTCCTCCTCTGTAACCTCACGGGGGAGCCTCCTTCCTCGCCCTTTCCCACCAAGCTAATTGCTTTCAGGAACCGTTAGACCCAATTTACTAGACCTAGGGAGAAATGTCTGGAGTAGAAGAAATTTAAGTTCATACGCATATAGTTAGTATTTAAAACAATGGAAACGTAAAATTGTAAAGGAAGAATATGTAAAGTGAGGAAAGAAAGCTAAAAATCCCTACATTACAGCCATAGCTAAAGGACAGTGAGGAAGAAGCAATCAAGGTAGGAGAAGGGAGAAAAGAGAGTCACATCCCACAAAGGAAGGGAGTAGAACTAAAAAAAAAAAAAAAAAGCAACTATCAATAGTATCTGCCACAGAGAAGTTCTGTAAGGACAGGAAAAACTATTGAACTTATAAACTTGGTGTAGATTCTGAATGAGGTTCATTCTCTCCAAACTTAACACACCTTGTAGAGACTCTTCATTCAAAAAAATTAAAAACCTTCCACTCAGAAATTCGCATATCCTAATGCTTCAGTAAAACAATGGAATGAATAAGAACTCTATCAGACAGATTTGAATCCAGGCTCCACTATTTAGTAGGTGGTTGACTTTCAGAATGTGTATCTCTGAGTGTCAGAGTTGCTCTTTTAGAAAAAAAGCTAGTTATATCTATATAAAAAGAAAAATATCTACTTTGAGTCGTTATCAATATTAAAAGAGATACTGCATGACGGTCCCATGGAGGTACCAGTCCTTTGGCTATAAATACTACTTATATGCCGATGACTCCCAAAATCTCCCCTAAGACCCAGTTCTGCTTTCTTGACATATTCATTTAGATAACTAATATGCATCTCTAAGTTAACATATCCCAAACAGAACTCTGGATTCCTGCCACCACACCCCTCAACTTGGCCTTCCCCATTGAAGTTGATTAAACTGTCCACCTAGTTGCACAAACTAAAATCCTAGGAAGTATTGTTGATTCCCCACCCCCTATGTGCAGTCTGTCAGCAAATTCTGTATTGTACTTCCAAAACTTTCCCCTAATCTATTTGCATCTCCACTGCTACTACTTCAGTCTAAGCCACAACCATCTCTCACCCGACTGTAATAGCCTCTTAACCGTGTTAGTTTCGTTCTTGCTATGTAAAATCTATTTTCTATACAGCAGCCCTACCGTCTTAAAAAATAAATAAAAATCAGACTACAGAAGTCCTTTGCCCATGGTTCTCAAATGACTCCCCCAGGCAATAAAAATATACTCTAAACACTTCACCACAGTTTATAGGGCTCTACTCAGTGTGGCTCTCTCCTACATCCCTTACCTCATCTACCATTCTTTCTTCACTAGACCCCAGCCATTCTGGCCTACTTCCTATTCCTCAAACATTCCAAACTCCTATCTGCCTTGGGTGGCGTTTGCCCCTTATCCCTTCTCCTGGAATGTTCCTTTCCATATCTTTAAGTGGCTGTCTTCTTTTTGTCTTTTATATCTGTTTTATTTAAAACTACTGTCTACTTGGGCGCCTGGGTGGCTCAGTTGGTTAAGCAACTGCCTTCGGCTCAGGTCATGATCCTGGAGTCCCAGGATCGAGTCCCGCATCCGGCTCCCTGCTCAGCAGGGAGTCTGCTTCTCCCTCTGACCCTCCCCTGTCTCATGCTCTCTCTCTCTATCTCATTCTCTCTCTCAAATAAATAAATAAAATCTTTAAAAAAAATAAAACTACTGTCTACTTATAGGGAGGCCTTTCTTGAATATCTAATAACAAGCGGCTCCTAGTTAATGCCTATTACATCATTATGACACTTATCAGTTTGATTTTTTTTGTTTACTTATTTTCTGTATTTTTTCATTGTTAAATACATTCCTTGAGAGTATGGACTTTGTCATTCTAACCTTGGAACATCCAACCTAGAAAAACACCTGGCATACAATAAATATTTATTGAATGAGTGATTAGATACTCAAAAAATAACACCTTGTATTAGTGATTATTAGGGTAATATTTCATAGTAGTGCACACCTGAACTCTACTCCTTGGTTATGGGTAGGATGTTCTCTTTTTATATCTAATATTTTCCTAAAAATTATAAACCTAGTGAGTTTGGGACCATACCAATTCATTTTACATCTCCCAGCCCCTTACCACAGTTTGTGGCATATGTATTTGTGACATACATCTACAAATTAATATTTGTACTAAATTGTTTATGCCTAATATTTTGTTGGATTTTTTGAGGGGGTGAAAGCCCAACGAGTTGCATCTAAAATACTTAAAATGGATATTATCAGTTACAACTAATTAAGGGAGTAAATATTCTCTAGTCATTTCAACTAAATGCCCTTGTAACTAGCTGCTAGTGTCTCTCAGGCAGTAAACCATATGATAGTATGTTAAAGGAGGTCATTTTCAGAATTTCTGAGATGGAAACTAGAATGATTTCATTTTTGACTTAGAAGGTATTTCTGATGCATTAAAACTATATTTTTCAAACTTTTTTTTGCCTGCAACCCATATGAAGGAATACATTTTACATCACACAATATGCATACATATATATAAAAGTGAAACCAAAAAACTAGCCTTGCAATGTGGTTTATCCTCTTTATTTTCTATTCAAATTGATTCAATTTCATTTTTTTTATAAAAACACTGGTTGCAACACATTAATGGGGTAATGTGCATACTTTGAAAAACTAATGGACTTTGTATATGTTTCCTAATCTGAGGCCTTGAAGTAAAATGGTTTGCTCAAGTTCTTGCCACTAGTAGGTAACAAAGATGGGAAATACATATGAAAGAGATAAGCTGTTTCAATCATAGGTAAAAGATGAAATATTTACAGGGAAAATATATTTAAGGGAAATTTTTTTACCAATAGTAATCTCTGAAGTGGGGAATGTCACTGTGTGTTTACATATTGTGACACTGCAGATGTCTAATGAAACTTGCCCTCCTCAGGCCAGGAAAGAACTGGTATGTCAGTGACAAAATTCTTTATTCTTCTTTAACATTTTATCATATAATTATAAGTGTAAATAAAAAATAAATGTCTTCTATAGATAAAACCATAATCCTGAGAACATAAACATCAATCATACTTTCTCTAAATCTACTTTTATAAAATATTGTCAAAATTTTATCTCTCACCCTCTCACTACTTTGAAAAAGAAATTTTCATTCATGTTTGTTAAAAATATTTAATCCAGTTTCTCTGATTGAACACTGCCTGGTATTGGTGACAAATATCAAGGAAATATCCAAGCAGCCAAATATTAGATTATGCCATATTAGACACTATTTAATTTAATGATCTCAGTAAAACAATGAAAAAAGCATATGAATGTGGTCTATAACATGCTTTTTTTATGTGACGCTATCTTATGATTTTCATTTTTTTTACAAGCTTATGTTTGAATAGTTAGAATGATAATACATCAGAATGAACTAGAGTCAGAAAGGAATAACTTTGAATAAGCCTACATTATCTTTGAGGTGGGATAAGCTTTATTTATCAAGCCATATTGGCCTACAAAGCCCTTTGGAGTGCTTCTTTTGTATGGTCAAAGTTTACTTCAATTAATATCTTCAGACATTATGAAAGACTAAAGCAACTTTTTAGTTGTAATAAAACTTATGGCATTTATAAAATGGACATCATTTAACAAGACAGCATAATACCATTTGAATTGATTTTGCAATACCCAATATCGTCATCATTATTTAGAATCTACTGTTTGCTATGTTCTATCTTAATCATACTGAGTTAAAATATTCCACATTATATAGCACAGTTTATAACCTCTATTTACTGTGACAATTATCCGTGAAAGTAAATTGGTCTCACTACAAGTCTCATATAAAATTTACTATAGTCTTTAAATCATGTTGTTGTTTCTAATTAGTGAATCATAGCCATAAATCCCTTTGCATTTAAGGGAAAATATTACTTATTTCATCTTCATTCCATGTCAATAGATTTTCACCGTGACACATTCACATTTGGAAGGAAGTTTTCCTTAGAGTTTTATTTACCAAAAGCCAGATTAACATGGAGTTGTTTTAGGAACCTTCCTGAACATTTTTTTTTACATTTTTAAAAGATTATGTTATTTAGTATGTCCCACCCTCCAAACACAAGAGCCTATAACCCCTTTGCTGGCACAACTGTAGTGTTTAGGCACTTCTCCTTTTTCCAACTTTACCATCATTTGCAATATATGTTTTAAAATGTGCAAGCAGTTCATTTCACATCCAATTATATTATTTTAGAAAGCAAA